CAAATGGGAAAGGAGACAGAAGAGGAACCTTATTTTCTCTAGCTCAGAAATACTTTCCTAGCATTCCTTCTCTGGTACATTAACCCTGCCCTGCACCCTGAACTTTTAAATGGGGAGGAGTGAAGGAAATTTATTAGCGGGGACTTGGGAGGCTTTTAGTAATGGTAGAATTCTGCTTACTGTTTACTAGATACATGGAGAGACTTAAATAAAAAATTCATGCCAACAGTATTTATACAAGAGACCAGCTGTTCTCATTTATTCCAACAGACATGGTTCCACAGGACTCGGAGCTCCATTATCCCAGCTCAGTGAACTTCTCTGGCAACAACGGCACAGGTCTGAAGCATTTCAGGTCCCAGAGCGAGGGGCTCACTTAGACAGGAGTACAGACAGCTGGTGCTAAGACCCTGAATTCGACCTCAAAGCTATCAGACTGGACCAAGAAAGACACACACCCCCATAACGCTGGGTCAGCCTGCCTTCCGCCCAGTACATGCCCAAGACAAGGGGCCCAGGCACCTGCATCTCCGTCCTCCAAGACCACCAGGGCAGGATGATGCCTGGTGTCATGGTAAAGCTCCACTGAACTCAAGCCCCTCGCCCTCAGCTGCCATTGTGTACAGCCATTTCCAGTGAAAGGTTTGGGGACACTCTGACTTTTTAACTTTTAAATCAGCATTAGGAGTGAATATTTTTGGTACCCAGGACTGGACCCAGAGATGCTTTACCACTGAGGCACATCTCCAGTACCCCCTCTCCCCATTTTCTTAATATACATATATTTTATTTAGATACAGGGTCTCGCTAAGTTGCTTAGGACCTCACTAAGTTGCTGAGGCTGGCTTTGAACTTGTGATCCTCCTGCCTCAGCCTCTGGAGCCACTGGGGTTACAGGAAGGGACCCCTGTGCCCAGCATGGAGTGACTTTTGAGCCATAAGGGAGCAGTGCTTGAGAGAACTGGCTTCTATGTCTTTCCAGGGCCAGTGTAAGAGGAGCAACTGTATGGACCACGAGGCTGATGACGGCTTTCTCAGCACGGGCTTTGGGCCCAAAGTTAAAGCATCTCACTTAAACCTTGAAACAACCCTTTAAGATGAGCTAGTGATATCCTTCCAAAGATCTACAACAGGGAAAAGGAGAAAGAGAGTAAGCTGGAAGTGGCAGGCCCTCCACCAGGGGGTCAAGGCCAACATGACCTGCAACAGGTGAAGGTGACCTGTCACATGTGACCTTGACCTGTCACATGAACACAGGGACTTCCCCTCTGTGCTGCTCCCCTCAGAAACTCATGATCCAGTCTGATCTTGAGAAAGATAAACTCCATGTGAGGGGCCTGGGGCTCAGTGGTAGAGCACTTGCCTGGCACGTGTGAGGCACTGGGTTCGATTCTCAGCACCGCATACAAATAAATAAAATAAGGCCTTTCAACAACTAAAAAGTATATATATAAAAAAATTCCAAGTAAGGAGCATTCTACAAAATACTCTTCAGAACTGTCAAGGCCACCAAAGCCAGGGACAGGCTGAGGAAGCCCATGGATCAGGGATGTCTATGGAGATGCAACTAGTAAATGAGATGCGGTACCTGGGAAGAGATCCTGGAACCAAAGGGGCCATGAGGAACAGACTATGGAGGTCAGAATTAACAGCTGAGTGTGATAATAAGAGAGCATCGGTGCTGTGCTGCCCCTTGATTCTGACAAGCAGACCCAGCAAGGAAAATGGTAACAAAAGTGGAAACCAGGTGGGTGGCCTATGGCCTCACTCTTCCTAACTCTGCAACTTTTCTGTAAATCTCAAAACTATTCTAATATAAAAAGTTAAATTCAAAAAAAAATCTCTGAGGTTGATGCTTTTACCTCCATGCTAGAGATGAAGAATTATAGGTTAAATAACTCCTCCAAATTACAACCCCAAAGCAAAAATACCTGGGCAGATAAAATCACTCCACATTGAAGCCACCAGCGGAATCAGTCTGCAAGAAAAGTCCTGGCGTGAGTATTTCATAAAAACCGTTTTATGCCAGATACATTAAGCCGAGAGAATTTATTTCACTTATCTCCCGAGTAATGAAACACTTTTATTTTAGCATACGTTTGAGTCCGGGGGCCATAACATGACTTCCGAAGTATTTCATCTTTATTTCCACCACAAACTAGATCGACTCTGTCGATGCCGTGGGATGACCACATTGAAAGAGAATTCGCTTAAGGGTTTGCCCAAGCCTCTGGGCTCCCCGGGAGCAGTCGCCTCGGCCATGGACACCCAGTGCAGAGGGCCCCGGCTTGGGACCATTCTCACTGGCCACGCGCTCTGTTCTCACACACACCCTGGATATTTTGGAGCCGGTGAGCTCAGCCCACTCGCTGGGGGACAGGAAGAGTGGGTTAAAGTTAGCAGCCCTGCAGGAGGAAATGACGGCATTCACAGGAGGAAAGGCTGACCCACACTTGGAGTTTCTTCAGACAGGGAGACTCGAGATCAGCCATGGTGCTCCAGAAACCCAGAGCAAACCCGGTGCCCTCTGAAGCCAGACGGCCGGAGCGTTATCTCCTGAGCCAGCGTTTCCCACAGTGGGAGCCAGGCTCTCTGGGAAAACTCCAAGGTCCTCCCCAGAAGGCCTGAGCAGGCCAAGACATATCCTTTTTTTCCTTGGGACTTGCCAAAATCAGACAGTAGGATTCAACAAATATTTCTAAATACTGTACTTAATATATTGTTCCCTGTGAGAATGTAAAGTGGAAGGGATCCAGCAAGTAAGAAAACAGGCTGCTCTCTGGGAGTGATTAGATTAGCCAGCCTGAAACATGTTTTTCTCCATCTTGTTCTACAAACAAGTCTTTTTTTTTTTCCCCTTTAACTTGATTTCTTGAATTAATGATTTTACCATTCTGACCTTGTCTCAGGAAGAGCAAAGATTCTCTCCCTCCAGTTTTGTGCAGCAAACTGTGCAACTACATAATGGCCCCTTATCTGTTTTAACAGGAGGGAAGGACGGACAGAAAAGGGGGGGGAGCCAATCTGACCGATTTTCCCACAAAATCACAGCAAACCAGCAGCAGGGGTTCAAATGGGCTGACTCCCGATTCCCTGGTCAGTGGAAAGAGAACCAAACCCAAAGTCAGACCTCTCCCCCTCCCCATCAGGAAAGAAATGTACCACGTTCAAGAAGCCACAATCACCCCTGTGCAGTGTGCGCGCGCACACACACACACACACACACACACACACACACACACACACAGAGACACGCATACACAGAGAGAAAACAATGTTGCAACTGGCACTAACCCAACACAAACGTCTCCTTTCAAGAATTGTTACTATTTTTATAACTGAACTCATGAAAAAAAAAAAAAATCTCTCCATTTTGTAGCCCTGGGTGCTTGTGGCTGGAATTTTAAAATTTCTAATCTCATACCAGTGAGAGAGGCTGGAGTGCTGAGAGGTCACTTGGAGGGCTCACTTCCAAGATCAATCTGGGGACAGAGGGGCTGGACAGAAGAAGGGCATCCTTTGGGTGCAATTCTGGAGCTCAGAGACTCATTTAGAGTTATCAGGTGACCACGTCCTTGTGAGCCCGAGTCCTGTTAACACCCTCTGCAGACCCCACGTCCAGCTGGGTGGACACCGACCTCGCCACACCGAGCTCCCACCTTCAGATCCTGCCGCTCTCTCTGGAGAGCACCTGCTGAACGTTCACCTGAGCGTGGGTTTCAAAGCTGAAAGCCCACAGGATAGGGAGGGGTCGGGGTTTTCAAAGGCCTCAGGGAGAAGCTCTTAAGTGTTCTTCAAAGTTTTCATTCAGAGTGTCAAGTCTTCCCCACGACTTCCCTATTTTCTTCTGGCTTTCCAGACAAATGAAGTTGTCAGCATGATAGAGAAGGTTCCACCATGTGGGGACGCATAGAGCAGATAAGACACACGTGTATGACTACGAAGCAAACTAGAGCTGAATGCTCCTTTTTGCCTGCTGCTATCATGGTGTTTCCCTCCTGGTGCTATTAACTTTGCTGTCCAGTTACCTGGATGCTGAACTCATTCAGGAAGGTGCTACGTGAAGAGCACACAGCAGCCTGGTGTGGTGGTGCCCACGCCTGTAATCCCAGTGGCTCAGCAGGCGGAGGCAGGAGGATCCCAAGTTCAAAGCCAGCCTCAGCAAAAAGCAAGACACTAAGCAACTCAGTGAGACCCTGTCTCTAAATAAAAATACAAAAAAGGGCTGGGATGTGGCTCAGTGGTTGAGTGCCCCTGAGGTCAATCCCTGGTACACCCCCCCCGGCCACGCCCTCCAAAACACATAGCAGCACTGAAAAGTACCTGGAACATAGTGGCACAAAAATATATGCTCAATCAATCAATCATCTTTGACATCTGATAAGCAGTTACCTCGAAAGAAAGAAAGAAAGGCAACAGAGGCAAGCTCTTAAGCTCCTTCTCTTCCTGGTATTCACAAATATTCCTAAATGCTTATGAATATACTCTTATGGCATTCTTCAATATTTAATATGCAGTTATACATATTAGTATTAGGAAATTATTAAGGACAAACAGGCAAGATAAAGACAAACCACTCAGCAAGAACAACACTGGCTGTGTGTACGTACGTGAATGTGAGCCACACATGGTGTTGGGTTCTTTTAAAAACAAGATCACAGAAAAATCTACCTCACTGTTTCATGCCTCAGCACACCAGGGTGTTTTATATTGTATATTACTTCTAAAATGTATCTGACTGCCCTAATGTTGTTCACACATTTAAACAAAGTATGTCAGAAATGGGGAACTTTGTGATATTCTTACAATTAAAATCTTTACATGTTTGACCACAGTCTTGGGAAACATCTGCCCTGAAGCTGAGTTGCTGGAACTCATGGAAAGCACATTTTGTTGCTTTTGATTTTGCACACTGTGAAATAAGTTCCAGGTAGCATGTAAAATATTTCTCCCAAATAGTATGTTTTCTCTTATACACATAGTAATATTGGATTCTGTAATCATTCTTCCACTTAGTTTAATAGTTAAAAAGTGAGTCTTTACATTTTTTCAAGAAGTAACCTACCTACTTATATTTAAGTAATAAACATAACATTTTGAAGCCTCAGCTCAAAGTCATGTACCCAAGAGCAGGTGCTAGTACTTTGAGGGACTAAGAACTTTACACAAAATACAAGGGGAGAGGTCTGAAATCCTAGCTAACAGTTTTCATCTTTTTTTTTTAAATTAAGATAACTCAAAACTTAGATGGAAATTTCCTAAAGTTTCATTATATCCAACGGATTCTGTTTTTAAATAGATACACCTGTGCATGGTTCGCCTTTCCTTGTTTTTCTGAGGAGCACCTTCACCTTATCACCTGAGTCTTGAAACTGTCTTAAACGTTCATACTCTCTCTTTACATCAGGGCTCACTTGAGTTTTGCTTTAAATTGGTGTGCAACTTGTGCTGCACGTGCATATCCGTGAGCCCATACAGCTGTGCCCACCAGCCTATACCTATGCATACGTGCATGCCTGTATACACAAGTCCATGTGCACTTACACTTGACATGTATGCACAGCTTTTAGACCTTGCCTTTCTCCCCTGGGTCTTGGTAAAGCAGTTCATGTTGGCGTCTTCATGTTTACTATATTAAAGGAGTGATCCAAGAGATGTTCTCACGGCAAAGGACAACAGAAAGGAAAAAGACACTGGTTCTTCCAGATCTTCTCCAAGCCACTTAGCGGTGAGGGAGGAAAGGGAAGGTAGGGCTGCTGGGAGCACATGAGCTCCTGGCTCTGTCCCCAGGCACAGCGGGCTGTGAGGGGCCCTGCACCCGTGGGCACGGGGAACGTAACTGCCGCCACGTGTGCTTGGGAGAAGTCGCTTGCACACCTGCTCCAACGGTGTGCCTGGGCTGCGGGTTTCCTGGGTGGCGTTGGAGTGCTGGGTGACTGCTCCACGCTCGCGGGGGGCCCAGGGAAGTGGGCTGTGCTCAGAGCGGTTTGCGGTGCCCCGCGCTTCCACTGGTGTCAAGAGCGCGAGTCTCCGAGGGCGCACGGCTGCCAGCAGGCTCTGCGCACCCTCCACCGGACGGAGAGGGGCCTTAAAATAAAACAAAACAAGAAGCTTTAGCAACCAGGAAACCAGCAAGCAGAGGAAGCAGCTGTCTCTTTTGCTTTGAAATAACCCGTGAGAGAGAGGGAGGGAGACACACACACACACACACACACACACACACACACGGTGCCGCTGCACCCTGGGCCACTGATCTCATCACCTTCAGGCTTCCGTTTTCATAGAGGCTTTTCATTTTTTCTTGACTAAGCAAATTTGCTCCTTGTCCAAACTATAATGATGATCATAAAATCATCCTGACCCGGGGTGGGAGGATGCACAGGGGCTGTTTCAGCATAGGCCACCGCTCTCTGTAAAGTCTAGGAGGGCTCCGGCCTGTTTTAGCACAGCCCGGGTGTGGCTTTCCACCTTCTGACATCAGCAAGGGCAGATCCCCTCGGTCAGGTCTTTGGGACATCCCCAGGAAGCCCCTAGGAGACCCCATCTGCCATGTAGGCTCCAGGCCAGTGACCTGCACAGCCCCCTCTGGCCTCCAGGCCCCACACCGGGCTCTACTATCACTCTTTCTTGCTCCTCTACTGTGAGTTTTTGGGGCAGTAACCACAATTTTAGAATTAAAAAAAAAAAAAAGGAAAAACTAATGAAGGGACTATCAAGCAGAAAATATTTATCTTCCAGACAAGTGAACCTGCAAAGTACACAGCTGGCAGAAACTTCACCAACTGGAGCGCCATGAGCGCTGGTCTTGTGAACACCTCCGTGTACCTTCTCAGGAACGTTTTTGAGAAAATCCACCAAAACTGCAGTGACCATGTTCAACCCCAGGTGAAATCGCCACTTCTACCCAGTTACAGTTCTGCCGGCCTCAAGGGCCACCCTGGGTATTCCCTTAGATTTCGACATGGCCCACAGTCCTTTGGTGATTTGGACAAAAGGTGTAGAAAGCACAGCAGGTCTTCTTTCTCCGTCTCTGCCCTTTCCCCCTATATTCTCCCCCTCACTGCTCGCGTCCTTGGGCTGGCGAGCAGGGTCAGTGGCACCGTGAATGGAGACACCTGAGCGGGTCAGGAGCCAGGTCTGGGAGTGGACCCCACTTTAGGCTCCCCAGGTAGGCTTGCACTTCTATTCCTAAAACCTGAAAATGTAGGGGTCTAAAAACAACGTTTTCTCCTCCCAATTTTCCATTCTGGGACCTCATGTTGATATTCCGTCCTTCAAAATGTTCTTGCTTTTTTCCAAAAAGCATTTCATTGGAACACCAGAGTTTCCCAGTCACCGTCAGAGTGGGAGACAACACTGCACTGCTGTCTGCTACCATTCTGCAACAAGAGCACTCACTTCAGCGAAATATAAAGGAAACCCATCTTTGCAGGAAGTAGAAAAATAGGCGGAAACCCCTGCATTTATTAACCATGTACATAATAACCAGGAAGCTCCTACCCGCACCTGGTGTGGCACCCACTGTGTGCTAGAAACTTCTGAGAGATGTCAAAGCTCACTAGAGAGACAGAAGGTGCCAAATGAATGCAATAATAGAGAAAAAATGTTTGGAAATGTGAAGAGATCCGTGAGCACAGAGCTAATACACCCCCAACGCCACCATGGGAGCCTGACAAAAACTCACCTAACTCCTGACTTTAAGAAAATGTGTTTGTGGGGTGCTCTCCATTCTGCCTCCTTTCAGGACTCTGAACACCTTCAGGTGACAGGGTCACTTGGAAGAGTGGTGGGTGGGCAAGAGGGAAGAGAAACGCCAGGAGCTTAGGTCCAAAATTACAGTCAAAAGAAAACTAGGAGTCTACTTAAATGGACTAAAGGGTAAGGTTTTTCTCAGATCAGCTCACGCCACCCTGAAGAGGTCGGTTTCTGCTGGACAATTCCCTGAGAGCACCACAGAGTTTACATTGCGAGTCAAAACCAGAAATATGGAAGGTCGGCTTCCGAGCCCTCCCCAGTGTCCCGAGCAATGGAAATGCTTGTCAAGTTTTATAACACGGTCGATGTGACACTAAAGGGTTGGTATCGATTCACCTGTGACACACGGTGACTAAGAATTATAACGCTGGATGTGTGTAGCGGTCCCCTGGGTGTGTATGCAGTGTTCTAGAAACATCAAACTTGCCATCTCAGGTCATCCGCTCTCCAGTGACCACGGGAGGTGAAGGAACATGTGCCCATCGCGCTCATGCAAAAGGCGAGCCTCCGAAGTCACGGGCTGGGGAGCTCCGCTATTAAAGCTAAGAGCTGAATCCGGTTCTTCCCAACCCCTAGGCCAACTGGACTCCTCCTGCAGAGGCCAGCTGGGTGAAGAACTGGGAGGATGTGGAATGACCACACCAGCCTCCTATTCCAGCTTGGCTCGCAATGACTGTGGGAGACCGCACTCCTGGTGAAGCCAGCTCTGCTGGCCTCTTGGGGAAAACCATCCACATTTTTATATAAAAAAGAGTTTAAATACTTCTGGGCACGATGGCCCCGCCTATCACCTTCCAGAGGCTGAAGCAGGAGGATAGCAAGTCCACCGCCAGCCTCCGCAATTTATCGAGGCCTAAGCAACTTAGCAAGTCCCTGTCTCAAGAAATAAAAAGGGCTAGGGATGTGCCTCAGTGGTTAAGCACCCCTGGGTTCGCTGCCTGGTACCAGAGATAGACAGACAGACAGATAGAAAGATACTGGCAGGAAGTTATTTAAACACAAATATTTGCATGCACACACTCCCTCCTCAAATAGGCACACACCATATATCTATAGGATGGACTGGGGTCTCCAGGCCACTGGCTTATGATATCTGCCCTCTTCTACCTGCTTCCCATTCATCCAGTATCCACCTGGATGCCACAGGGACCATCATCAAGCCTAGATTAAAGTTATATGACTTCGCAAATGAACATTCTCCTTAAAATAACCGTTTCAGTGCATCCACGAGAGCCACACGTCTGAAAAACCAAAGCATCTTTGGGATCACGCGTTTGGCACCTGCAAGTGAACGGTAAACACGCTCGCAGCCGCTAAGCCGTCAAGGCCACAGCAGTGACAGCGGCTCCGCAGCTCCATCCGTCCAAGCTGGGCCAGATCCACGAACTAACAAACATTTCCAAAATGCAGATCCCAAAAGCCAGGGCACCTGCAGGAACCTCTGTCCCCATCACCTTTCTCTGTCCCCTTCCAGTCTGATGATTTGGCAGTTCTGGGAACTTTTCCGAGAGGAGTCAAGACTCACTCTGCCAGCCCCAGCTGTTCAGAGCTCAGCCCAATCTGTTCACGGAGCTGCTGTACTATAACAATAATGTGGCTACAGTTCACCTTCATTTGCTGCAAAGATCATTAACTATCCCTCAGAGAGACAGTATTAAAGAGAGTGCCCGAGGCATAACAAATGGAGATCCCTGGGTAGCCCAGTTCAACACAGGTAAGACGATGCCAGCCAGGCCACCTGACAGGGCCCACAGCCAGAGGAGAAGGGGAGAAGGCAAGGGCAGGAGAGAGGGAAGCCGGCCGAGGGGAGAAAGCCAGGAGGTGCCTGGCACGCACACACGCCCGTGTGAGGAGACCAGAGAGCAAAAGGGAACCGTGAGACAGAGACAAGGGGACATTAACGTGAAGTCACAGCGGTGACATGACTCTGCGTGTCTGGCAGCTCGCATTCCACTACAGCGTTGCAGGTAGACTGGTGGGGACAGGGGGCAGAGGGGGGTGCGGCAGTCTCCCACAGGAACATGTGACACCTAGACACCTTCACACTGGAGCACCGTGAATTCAGTGACACCTGCACTCAAGTCATGCATCTGACCTGCCATTCACACAGACGCTGAATCACAGTGTGCTTTCCTCTCAACTCATGCACTTGGTTATTAAAGGCTTAACGTGAGTCTCGTTTGAATCTTGTTCCCCAGACACTCCCCCAGACCAGCACTGGGAAAGCACCCTGTGATCCGAGTCCCCTACCCAGAAAGTTCTGCCTGTTATAGACACACCTGGGAGCTCTTGAGGCGATATCAGCAGCCTCAAGGACTGGGTTGCAATCATCTCCTTAATCAAAACCAAATTCCAGTCAATAAGTGAGTAGAAAATTGGTAGCAAAACGGCAGTTCCACAGGCGGGTCCTTCTCCTGGAGATTCACCTCCTTTGGAAATGCATAGATAATGAACTGTAACAAAAACAGCAGCTCTCACTCTTTACTTCTGCTTAGTGAAATCCCTCCCCCAGCAGTGGTACCCAGCTGGGGGCCATGGGGTTCTCCAGGATACTACTTTTGGTTGTCACAGCTGGAGATGGGCATCTAGGGGCAGAGGCCAAGCACAGGACAGCACCCCTCCCCAGCAGGAATTATCCACCCCAAAATGTCAGCCGTGCGGAGGTTGAGAAATGCTCCAGAGACTTAGTCAGAAATCCGCCCCCCACATTCCAATGTCCTATATGGTTTTTATTGTCCAGCAGAGGAGGATTCGAATTGACATCTTCCTATCATTAAAATAGCTTCTCTCCAGAGAGTAACAGCATTTGACATCAATGAAAAGGGGGCCAAGGAGCAGAAGTTGAACACTAACACAGAACCACAGTGGGAGCCCTCTGAATCCTTCTATAGCGCCAGACTCTGCCCAGGCTCCAACCAGTGATTTAATGGCTCAAATGTCCAAGGGAAATTAAATCCCAGAGTGTGATTTAATTCACCCAGAAGGATGCTTCCAAACATGCGGACCCAAAGACTCCAGCATGAATGTTATGTTTATGAAGAAGAAAAACCCCTTCGCCACATGCACAAAAGCACACCCTCCCCAGCCCACCCTGAAATCCGAGACTCTAAGTCAACGGACTGCAGGTAAAATGGCTCTGTGTAAAAATCAAATTGGCTTGAAATAAAAGAAACTCACCTGAGGGGTGGAGGGGAGGGAGTCGGGGCTTGACCCTTTCCTGAAGGAAGAGCCCACCCCCTTCTCCCCAGCACACCTGGAGATGAAGTAGCAGTCCTTTGATGTGCTCACTGTCCTCACCCAGGAGCTGGGAGTCACCCCGACATTTACAGGGCTCTGAGGTAACTCAGTGTGAGCTCAGGTCGCGTCCTCATCTTGCCCAGGACGCCCCGCCTGCTGGCCCTGCTGTGGTTCCCACCTGGCTGCCCTCCCTGCCCACCCTCCTGGCTTCCTCCGGGCTCCCTGTGTGGCCCCTGTGGGAGGGCTGCCGTGCCAGCTCCCGGCTTTCCTGCAGTCCTCCTGGCAGTCCCACTTGCAGCTCCTGGGAAGGCAACGAGGAGCGCGTGCAGGCTGGGACTGGGACGGGGTGGACCTGGGACCTCCAGCCCCGGGAGAGCGCGTGTCCTGCCCTGTCGGGAAGGGAGCAGCTTCCGGAGTCTACCCAGGCTGCAGACCGTCCTCCAGCTGTTGTCCCCGGGTAGATTTCCCCTGGACAGAGCAGACACAAGATGGCAAAGGGTTCATTCAGGGACTGTGGCCTGGGAGCACGGAGGATAGACTGGAGACAGGCGGGGGGTGCCCTCAGAGGAGGAGAAAATACCCAAAGAGAGTGTGAACCTGCTGTTTTTCAGCTAAATGTTCCCTTTCATGTGGGTAGAAAACAGAGGATGAATTGGGCAACTTCGTGTATGAAACTGTCCCTGGGGTGATTTAAAAGGAAAACGAGGGCCCGGTGTTGCCACAACTCTGCCCACTTCCCAGATCTACCCCAAAGCTGCTGCTGTAACCGCCGCTGGCAGAATTTCTCACCAGCATGCTGGAGGCGACAGCAGGTGATTCATGTCTGCTGTGAGGAGGGAGGAACGTTAGGGGCAGAGGGATGGGATCATCTGTTTTATAACCAGGTCAATCAGGAGGACTCCTACCTGCCAAGAGACTTCTACCCATTGGAACGTATTAAAAACCAAAGTCCTGCCCCGTCAAACCCAGAGGGCAGGAGGAGGGGTCAGCAACGCTGCACGCAGGGCACCAGGAGAGCGTGCAGGTCCCGGCAGAACACCCCCCAGAGGGTCGGGTTGGCCAGACTCTCATCCTGAACACAACACAACTCCTGAAGGTGCCTGTCCTGAAGGTGCCCTCCTTGGATCCAAGGGGTTAGGGAAGGCAGGGGGCCTGGACAGACCCAACAGAACAGGGGAGACAGCAGATGCCCCAAGCCACACCCGCAGCCCGCACCTGCTTTTGTACAGAACCAGGTCCCTCAGGCCCTTGGGACTCACGGAGCTACATTCACGCACTGTGCTGCGCTCCTTGGTTATCAGGTTGATTGAAAAATTATAAAGATTCGAATCACAGAATGAATCTCATAACAAAAGACAGGCTCCCTTCACACACCAAGAACTTGGCGCTTTCTCTATCCCTGGATTGAACGTGAAGTCGATCTTAGTATCTCCAAATCTTCCCCCACCTCCTCAAATCAGATCTCCAGGAATGGTGGGTCTAACTGGGTCCTGAGTGATTGATTTATGGCTTCTTGCTGCGTTAGCTGCCCAGTTTACTAAGAAAAGTTAGGGTTCACAATTAAGTTGCTTAACTATAATAACTAGTGTCAGGAAAATTTTCTTCATTTAAAAAAAATTTTTTTTTCCTAAATGAACATGGTAGGCGCTACATTCCCATGCATCTTCTTGGAGAATGTAAATAGACTTCACTTGCTGGTATTTATCAAGAACAGTCCGTGTCATTTGTGGTATTAGTGATTTACCACAGGAAAATCACTCATCTTCCTCACGATCCTGGACAAAGTCTGCCGGATTTTCTTCCACTGCAGAAACAGTAAGTCAAACCATATAAAACACCCTTCACACTTATCTTAGCCATCTGCAAAGTTTCTTATAAGCACAAACCACTTAGCATCACGTCAGCAGCTTCATGATGTCCCCAGGAATCCTACATGATTAAAACGTGAGCATTTTGCTGTCCCCGTAAAAACCCCAAATTAGCAAATTTCAGGTGCTCAATTGAGGAAGTCCCCACACTATAGAGTCATGTTGAATCGAGGTCAAGTCTCAATAAAGCAGAGAGAAGCAGTGACGTAGGCTCTTGGGTAGTGACCCAAGAGCCGGATTCTAAGGCAGTCACAGAGAAACAGAAACCCTGAGGAGACCCTGGAGACACATGGCAGAAAACCTGACCTTCTCCTTCTCCCTCTGCAGCATGCCAGGCTGCTAGGGAAGATGTCCCCCAGGCCAACCAGAGAGAGCCGGAGAGAGGGAGCGGGAGGGGGGGACAGGATCACCTCCCAATTTGACCCGTAATCAGAGTGGCCCAGCGATGGGTTGAGGGATCTGGGCACAGTGGCATCTCTTTTGGAGTCCATCGAGCTCCCAGTGTCCGTTTTCCTGACTGTGAGATAATAATGCGAGGATTCCAGCCCTTTCCCGGCTCGCCACCTCCTGGGCTTCCCTCCTCGCCCCCATCTTCCTGCCCTACTACGCATCCTTTGAAAGATTCAGCTCACATATCCGCTCATATTCACCGTAATTACTGCCTCCTCCTTCGTGTGTCTGTAGAAGGTTCCTTCTGCTAATGGAGCCCTCTCTACACTGTCTGGGGACTTCCTGGGAACAGGAATTCCTGCCACCAAAGCCAAACGCCTTGAGGACAGATTCAGACTCTTGTCCTCTTTTATCCCCAAGGATGAGGGAGGGTCTGGAATAGAGCAGGTGCCCCGTACACCTGCTGAACCAGCGGATGGGCACAGCAGCATCAAAACTACCCAAGGACGCCAAGAAGGCCAGACTGAAGAGTCTCATTTGCATATTCCCTACCTTCTACCATCCACTTAAAAGGACTGTAAAGACAGAGTATTTTCAACTCTAAAAGAAAATAAAGCCCCAAACAGAAAAGGTAGGCAGCCTCCTGTAAATGATCATGAGGAGTGGACTTGTCAAGTCACAGCCCCGAAACTCCAGTCCTCTGTACGTAAAGTCCTGCTCATCTCTCCCAAGATGTGCTTCTCACCATGAGTGTGGTTCAGGCCGAAGACCAAGATGACACGGGCCCCCCGTGTACAGAGACACAGAATCTCCCACATTCTCAGCACTCACTGGGCCCTGCTGAAGTTCTGGGCTCCTGGAAGGCTGCCAGAGAGCTTCTCCTATGGGTTCCAAGTGACTGAAATCCTCCCCCAGCCTCTCCCTCTGCCTGGAGTTATATATTTACAACCACTGTCCTCAAAAAATGTCCACTACTTATAATTAATAAAAAAAATATAAGCTTGGAAATAAATACACACACACAGAAATATTTCCTAAGTCAACTGAGGCCAACGTCAAAGTTCTCAGGGAGCCGCACACCATGAGCTCATCGGGCTGCAGAATGCTGAGGAGCCAGGCCGTCTGCACCCGACCACGCTCACCCTGGGACGCTGACAACTGACGAGTCCTCCCGTTCTGCAGCAAAGGAATGGCATCTACTGCACAGTCGCATCACGCGGGGTCAAGGGGAGAGCAGCTGGTGCTCTGTGCGGGACACAGAGGTGTGCGGGACCTAGGCATCCCATAATGTCCAGGGTTTTGCTGCGGAACCATCTTCATATGGCCTTGACTTTTCAGTTATTTTCAAAAGAAACATTCCTAAAGATGAGAAAACGCTCCCCAGGGGCCCATCTCTGCCATGATGTCAGGGCTGTGTTGCGCACAGAAAGCAATGTAAGAACTGGATCCCAGAATACAGATGCTCATTGGCTGACGATGAGGTAACCTCCCAGTAAATCCACTGTGAAATAAAAGTATCCAAAGTGGAAGACATTCAGAATACCTCACCTACAGAACACCATAGCTCGGCCACACCCCAATCCACGAGCTGCCAGGCCATCTCCTCAGGATGCCCTGGAGCAGAGCTCGCGGCCACCGCGCAGCGTCACCAGGGTATCACACTGCCTACTGCCAACCCAGGACCAGATGGAAATTCAGTATCTTGAGCTGTACTTTCTATTGCATGAACATCGCTTCCGCACCATCAGAAAACTAAGACATCACACTGAACCATCTCTAAGTCGGTTCCTGAATGTGTTCCTATAGGACATGAAATCATTGAAGGGTGAGAAATCACAACTGCCTTCACCAAAACCCCACGGGTTTCACTGTGACCCGCGTGCTGGCATACACACAAAACACTTTTTGAGCCACAGGCATGATAATAATTAAGGAGCCTACTATGTGCTGAGAGCCATAGCTGAGTGGGAATGACGCAGGGCATTTTTGCCAGAAAGGAGTGGTTTCGAGGTGATGCCAGCAGCCATTGAGATGATGATGGTTATGTTAAGCTGTGTATTCAATTGTATATCAGACCCCTGCTGTCCGCCTCAGCCTGCTACTTTGGAGTTCTCAGAGGATTCCTGGAGAGTTCCCATTGGTTGGGGAAGTGCCGGAGGAGGGATTTTCCAGTGTGTGGTATGTCCCCGGAGAAGGTTGCATGCGTGGTGTTTTCGGGAGTTCGGAAATAAAGTTTGTTCCTGCTTGAGTGGCTCCTGATTTGTGTCCAGCCAGACTGCAGCAATTATGGATGCTTATTAGCATGTTTGGAGCCAGGTTACCTGATACTCTGTCCAGTCAGAACAGTTATTGTCACGAGCATCTTCACCATCACTAATGCCTTGGGTAAAAGGTAGATGAACGAATATGTAAGGGAGCGCCCAGTACACAGACACTCCATGGTACATAGATACTCCTTTCCCCACCTCGTTTCCCTCTCCAGTGCTGGGTACTGAAGCCAGGGCCCTGGGCATGCTAGGCAACCCCACTACCAGGGAGCCACATTCCCAGCCCAGCTTCCTCTCCCTTTTGAAAGAAAAAAATAATAATAATCAAAGAAAGTAGAATTATTTTTGTTTTCTGGGGGAAAAATAATTCAAACACGGTTGATGGAAAAGTTCTCTGTTGTTTCATTTTTAAACCAAGAAAATCCGCTGCATTAGGAGGAGGAGGCCAAGGAAGAGCAGGTGTTGACGACAAAACTGTACCTAGGAGACAGAAGGTGGAAGGCAGTGCCCACGTCCGGTCAGCTCTGAAGAGACGGATGCTGCTCTCTTCCCTAGGCTGGGTCCTGGCACTCAAAGGCCAGTAGAGGTGTAAGATGCTGTTCACTTTTCACTCTGGAGACAGCTGGCATGCGGCATCTGAGAACAGGGAATTTTATATCCTCCTAGAGTAAAATATTGAGCATACATAAGTCATCTAATAAAAATCAGATTTTATGTTCTCTCCCCTCTCCATAACTAAGCAACATAAAAAATTAAAGGATGGACAAAATTTCAAAAGGATTTATATGGAGCCCTTTTACCCCAAATCTATTATTCAAATTATCTTTGCTTGTGGCCGAAAGGTTTTGATATTAGACAACAGGAAGAGAAGAATTCAGCACCTCACAAGGACTCAAGGAAAGGTTACAATTATTTCAACTCCCAATACCCCATGGTCACATACTGCACCTCCAAATGAGCCCTACAGAGTGTCCACAGAGTAGCTCTACATGCAAGTCCCTAGAGAAAACTCACACGGTATCACAGGTGAATAAAAAGTCAATCGTTTTTTTGCATTTTTTTACCCTTTAGGGGATGAAGGGTCAGAGAGGTCATGTGATCGGATGAAGCTGGTACTTCCTATGAAGGAGGAACTGGAACCCTGAGTTTCCAACTTTCAGAACCTCAGGAGGAGAGCTGCAGACACCACCGGCAGAGAGCAGAGTGGGCCCCACCAGGGAGACCAGAGGCGCTGCGTTTGGGGCTGTAGGTGCACGGAGCCATTGAATCTGCTTGTCAAAGGGAAGCAGTTACAGACGTAAAACTCAGAGGCACTTCTGACACCCTCTTCCCTCTCCCGAGGCTTCCTGGCTGGGTGCCGAGCTGACTTCCAGGTGCAGATACAGCACTCACCTGAGCTCTGCCAACGAGTCACTCCAACCTCCCCAATCCCGAGGTGATATCATGTTTATGCTGATTTTCACTGCATCCAGGCACTTCCCCTCAAAAAATTTCACTTTCCTATGTCATGAAGATCCAAGGTCAGCTTTTGTACAGTCCACTCAATGCACAACAAGAAGAAAAATATGATTGGACTGACACTGGCGATTTGAGTCTTAAAAAATGCATAGTACTCCTTATCCTCTTAGATACAGTGAACAAAAGCCATATTCACATTTACGGGGAACCTGCCGCAGTCAGGGACACACGTCTTTGTGGGTGGCTCTGCTTCTAGAGAGGTGCCGAGGTGCTCTAGAGAATTGAACTGTTTCAGGCGAGAAAGTAATGAGGGTAAGGTGAGACACAATCTGCCCCCAAACAAGGCCTTGTTCCCCAACACGAAGCACTCGCTTAAAAGAATCATCTCCATACAGAGGTGGAAAGTAGAGACAGCTTTAAAATGTACTTGGATTACTAAACTGTTGGCACAGGCCTGTGATCCCAGCAACGCAGAAGTCTGAGGCTGGAGGAGCTCAAGTTCAAAGTCAGCCTGGGGAATTTTTTAGCAAGACCCTGTCTCAAAAAAAATAAATAAAATAAAATAAAGAGGGCTAGGGGTGTAGCTCACCTCTGGGTTCAATCCTCAGTACCAAAAAAAAAAAAAAAAAAAAAGCTGGGGGAAGAGCCCTGGTTATGATACAGTGTAGCATTACTGTTATTCCTGGGCAAGTGCCAAATGTAAGAAATCTGATTTACTCCAATTTGGAGTAAAAGGACAACACAAAACACCGTCAGGAAATATGGATGCCTGGCTAAGAATCTAGGTCAGACAAACTGTGAAAAGGAAAGCTTGCGTACGATGTTACATATAAACTAATGTAACAATGACGGATTCTGGGTATTTACGTTACAAGGCATGCAGCGTTATAAACAGATTTATTCAGCTGTTTCACACCAACACAAAGTTCACACCTTCAATGGCTCCACCTGTGGTCCATGATGAGGAGTCCATGACAAGTCCACAAGTAAGTGTACTTTAAAACAAGAATAAGGACAGTCTGGCTTGCTGCTCGCCCTCTGAGGAGCAGGCCTTCATATAATAAAGTCAGACTTCTCCCTTCCAACAAAATGTTGTTGGACTTCATAAGCAGCTACACTTCTTCTGAAAAGCATCCACGAACCATCAAGAGATCCACGAACTTGCTAACTTTGAGAGACAGACGTTAGAAGGGCAATTAAAATTCTCCTGTCTTTAGATAATACCTAAATACATTCTGCTTCCATTTTTGAAGTTTCCAAAAGAAGCAATTCCAAAATCAACATCTAGTCTTGAACTCATCTTACGTGTGTGTGTGTGTGTGTGTGTGTGTGTGTTTTTAATTCTACAGAGCCTCCTTTCCGAAGACCTAGTAGAAGATAGGATGCTGAGCCTTTTGCCTCATTTTCTTCCAGGGCTTTCCAGGATTCTGGCTTGACCAGTCTCCTCCGCTGGGTGGGGCAGACTGTGCACTTTGTGTGTGGACCATGTTAAGGGAAATAACTGGCCTGAATAACATGTGATATTTTGGGGACAATAAAAGATACAAATAGGATAATCCATAATAAAATAACTAAACTATTGACAGATGTGTTGGACTTAAGGACACAGAATGGCAATGCTGATAGAAGCCTTCATGACGAGCAAGGCCACATCTTATTCCGTAAATAAGGATGTGAAGTCCATAGACACCCAGAAACTGACCCTAAACATGATCCTACTGAGCAGCAAAACCAAGACTAGACTTCCAAACTTGACTTCTGACAAGTTTTTTACTATGGCACTGGGATGAATGTTTACACCATGCCTACCGTTTTTCACTCAGCCCTACTTGTTCCTCATTTCTTTGGTTGGATGTTAGTGACTTTTTTCCAGACTTCGTCCCGCATCCTTATATTGCAAAGTCGTTGCTCAGGGCTGAGCAGGAGCAAGGCCTCCTGGACCTGAGGGCACTGGCTGGTGTCCTGGAGTGACAGGCAGGGCAGCCGTGGGGACACTGAGGGGCACACAAGACAGACTGACTTCCCAGCACTGCTGGACGCAAACCAGCTGCAAGGGCAGTGAGATAAGCCACTCACCCCTCAGTGAAGAGCATGTCAAGGAAAGGAAATAGGTCAGGCAGCACCATTAGTGAAGAGTTACTCCTGCTACCAGAAAATAAGGCGAATGGAAGACGGAGCTTCTCTCTCTAAGTTCCAGGTACAGCAAGCAGAGCAGATGCTTGGAGAAGGGCTTCTGCAAAAGTCCCACGCTCCTCAGGTTAGAGGAAATAGCCACTGTTTCCTTTCCAGATTTCCAAATTTATTTCCCAGTTTGTCATTGTGAGAAGTCAGAGCCATGGAGAAAGAAATTCCCAGCTCCCACAATCGACCCAGACCGACACTGGTAATACAGAATTCCCAGAAAGGAGTTTTAAAACAACAACAACAGAAGCACTCTCCTTGTTTAGCTTTCCAGGTCAAAGTTAGGTTGATATTTCCCAACTCACCACCAGAACTGGAGAAAATTGAGCAAGAAGGCTACCAATATGGATTTGGCTTTTATTGTTTTTTAGCTCTACCATTAGCAGTTTTTGGATCTTGGGACAATTCCAGTGGATGGAGATCAGAAAATGAAGATTGTTTGTTTGTAGCTTGCTCTTGATATTTTAGAGGAGAATGGTATGAATATTCACTTAGACCACAGTTCTATGTGCTTCTTCCACCAAGTGCAGAAGTAAGTTCACCCAGGAAGCAAGCTGAACAGATTACAGATTGTGACATGCAGCTACCTCATCTAGAAAAACCACCAGAGAACCAAAATGTCTCAGCATTTGACAAATGATGAAAAGAGAAGCAGTTATAAAAATTTCCCCACACTCAAGCCACAAAGAAAGAGGCTGGATCCCAATCCAGAGTTCCTGATGCCAAGTGCCCTAACCCATGTGTGTGTACTTAATATCTCTCTTCCTCACAAAACTAGGGGGTGGAACCACCCCACAACCCAGCTATCCCTCCCCTTGGCATTTATCCAAAAGATCTAAAGTCAGTATACTACTCGATACAGGCACGTCAGTGTTTACAGCAGCAAAATCCACAAGAGCCACGTTAAGGAATCAACCCAGATGCCCGGACTAGAACAAGAAAATGTGGTATACACACAATGGAGTTTGACTCAGCCATAGAGAAGAATGAAATAATGGCATTTACTGGTAAATGAACAGAAATGGAGAAAATCATGCGGAGTGAAATAAGCCAGACTCGGTGAAGGACTGAATGTTCTCTCTCATAGGTGGAAGTTAGAGCGAAATAAGGGAAAGAAGGCAGTGGGAGAGGGGATGCTATATCATAAAGATAAGGGAAGATCAGTGAGTAGAAGGGGAACAGAGGGAGGGAGGGAGGGAGGGAGGGGGACATGGGATGAATGTATCAGAATCCTGCCATATACATACATAAAGGGCAAAGGGGGTCCCACCTTGGGGTAAATGTAGAAGGTGCCAATCAAAAATAAATGAATAGGGAAAGGAGGGGCAAGGGGGTAAGGATGGTGGTGGAATGAGTTAGACATGTATGAAGACACGTGAGGATACCTGTGTAAAATCAGTGACTTGAAAAGTCGTGCTCGGTATGTGTAATATGACCTGAATCGCATTCTGCCATCGTGTATAACAAATTAGAATAAATAAATAACTTATTTAAAAAAGAAATGAATAAAGGAGTGAAAGGAAGATGAGTGGAGGAGGGAGAAAAGAGAGGAGGAGGGGAGGACAGGGTGGGGGACCCCTCTCCCTGAAATCAAATTCCTTCCATGTGTGATTTTTGTCAAAACGAACCCAAATACTGTGTATAATTATAATGCTCAAAAAAAAAAAAAAAAAACGAAACAAATCTTACTTCTTACTTTTCTTTCCCTTGCTGAGATTTGAAGAGCTGAGCATAAAAGGTTTTTGAATGTTACTTATGAAGGGAATTCATCATTTCAGTTGTCCACACACTCTACTCCAAATTCTTACTGATAACACAGCGTTGGCTTTATATTATCTTTTGGTTCTCTCATGGGGGAAAACAACCTAACTTTTGGAAATTAAAAAATATGATTGTAGCATATGTTTTTAGGGGGCAGGGAGAAACTAATAGTTTTACCTATCTCTGTCTTAGAATCAAAAGGAACAAACCTCAGGTGGAAAAGCCAATCCTACTCTCCAATCATACAAACCCAGCCTTGCAG